AACTCTGACCAAGTGGTAAAGGAGGATATCGATTAGCAGATAAGCGATGTCATGGAATCAAAGCCAATAACTGATATTGTGTCCAATATGAACCCATCGCCCATTGATAAGCAATATATCGACAAAAAGTCGATTTGCCGATTCCAGTCCTGTAGAGAAAAACAATAGGATCGCAACCGTCGAAAGTTTTTTGGAAATGGGTTTTTCCGTACTTTTACGCGAGTTAGCTATAATATTTAGGAATTATTTGTTCTACTTTTTTTCTTTTACAAAGCTCCGTATCAAAAGCTGATATTTCTCATGTGCGGCTGTGGCTAAACACGCTACCATTGTCACCTGTTTCGTAGATATACATCAAGAGAAACTAGTTGAAAAGACCATAGAATGGAATCAATGTAAAAAGCGAAAGATTAATATCGCTATTCTCTATCTATAAGAAAACAAATACACAAACATGTGCATTCGTTTCTATATCTCCACTTCGAACATACGGTATATTGGACTTAGATATGTGAATGAAATATACGAACTACGCGCAGATCGTATATCTACAAAAGATAATGACAGCGTGCAGCCACATGCCCGAGTCAAATTTATTTGAAGTGCCGAACGCGCAGAGAATTGACTGTTAATAGTCAGTAATGGTGCGAGAACGGTTATTACATGGTGCAATTAACTGTCTGTTTTCAATCCTTTAAAAAGTGCCACTTTTAGACATCAAAACGTTCACATTTATAATGTGTAAAAATGGTGATAAAACAGTATCAATTGCTACAGGAAAAAATCAGTATACGTGGAATTTTGCGCCAATTCATATTTTTTAGTTTTAGGTTATCACAGGGTATCCACGGATGCCACAAGTCTTTTGTTCTTTTTTGTGATATCCTGCTCTCTTGAGTAAATAAATCTTATCTCTTAATCAAAAAGCAGCAACCAGTCCTGTATACGACAAGATCTTCAACTTTTCTCCTGAAGGAACCCGACTTTCATCAGAAGAACTTCATGTTTTCTCCTAAAGAAATCCCAGTTTCACGACAAGATCTTCATGTTTTCTCGTGAAACCCGACTTTCACCACAGGATCTTCATCTTTCTTTCTGCAGAAATCCGAGTTTCTCCACAACAACTTCACCTTCATTTCTGGTTCATCAGAAGAACTTCACGTGCATTCCTCAAGAATTCCGAGTTTCACAACAAGAAGTTCATGTTCTTTCCTGCAGAAACCCGACTCCCAGAACAAGAACTTCACCTTGACTCCTGCAGAAATCCGAGTTTCTCCACAAGAACTTCATGTTTCCACCTAAACAAATCAGAGTTTTACGACAAGATCTTCATCTTTTCTCTCGAAGAAACCCGACTTACTGCACAACACCTTCATGTTTTCTCCAAAAGCATTCCTAGTTTTACGACAAGATCTTCAACTTTTCTCCTGAAGGAACCCGACTTTCATCACAAGAACTTCATGTTTTCACCTAAAGAAATCCCAGTTTCACGACAAGATCTTCATGTTTTCTCGTGAGAAACCCGACTTTCACCACAGGATCTTCATCTTTCTTCCTGCAGAAATCCGGGTTTCTCCACAACAACTTCACCTTCATTTCCGGACAAAAAGACGTATTCAAAAAAATTAAATTTCTCTGTTTCCGTCATGAGAATGCAGAATTGGAATACATAATATGCTTCTAATAATTCGCTCTTTTTCTCAAAGTGTTTTTTTTTTTCTTTATACTCCGACCTAATCTCCTACGTTTCGTAACTGATTAATATCAACTATTTTTTTTCGATTTCTTTATGCATGAATTTAATAAGAGTGAAATACAATTGTTAAACAAAAATATCATGTATATTCTAACAGTTCAATAAATAAAAGATGAACGTTAACTCAGCTATGTGATCAAGTCATATTGGTCGTTTAGAGTATCATCTATGGTCATGTTTCTATGAGTTTGTATCTCTTTTATTATATCATTAGTTCCTGTTCTCTTTGCGAAAAACAGAAACATGTAGCTTACATATTTTACTACTTTTCTCTTTTGATGATAGACACAAGTTACCGAAGAACGAAGTTAGATAGACTCGCAAAGTGACGTTCTTCAGAAATAAACAACATTCTTTTTTCATTTACCTTCATTTGTAGATTTCCTTCCAGATCAACGCATCTACGTCGTAGTGTTCTTGGTACGAAAATGAACTCGAGCAACGACCAAAATCGAAATGGTCCTCGCGAACACGCAGATAATCAAGGCCATTGGTATGAGCTACTTCCAGCGACAACGTCTCCAGAAGCAACCCGAGTGATGGATCTCGATGATCAGCGAATGGTCGTTTAGAAATCGAATCAGCATCTTTCTAATTGACATAACATTTATTTTAGCTGATAGAGGAAGAACATTTATCACAGAAAATGAAGAAGTCATCTACTAGTTCAATTGTTGGCCAGACATCTCCAGTGAAACACATCTTAACCCGTATGAACAAAATACCAACGTCTCTCACCAAACGAAATGAATCTTTTCGACGAATCATATTTGAAGCACTATCCGTTATGACTGTAGCAGTTACCAATCATAGCGTTGAGAAATTACGAAAAATCGCCATCTCAATTTATCAGATTATGTTCATCCGAACGTATCAAGCCCTATGGACAACATATCAGAAATCAGTTCGGGGACAATTGATTGAACCATCTGTGGAACAGTTGAGTTATGCAACTAATTGGTCAATCTGTCCAAAAGAGCTTAAAGAAATGTTAACATCGGCCAAGCTGAAGGGTACGAATAAGGAGGAAGTTCCTGTGGAATTTGTTGAAAATGTATTAAATGAATTGGATGACCTATTGAAACAGTATCATGTGGAATTGAATACAAGATCGAATCATTTCACCAATTATACTTCAACCATTCAACGGATGATGGAGAGATATATTGAGGAAAACTTGCATTCTCTTCGTATGAACATTGAACATCAAATCGAACTCGTCTATCACGATTATCCTATTCAGGCGTTGCAATTGGAATACGAGCGCCACCGGTCAAATACAGCTCAAGTTTGTCCCTTTCATCCGAAAAGTTTCTAGTAATTATTTCTGATGTCTGTTTCATTCATTTAGAAACAACTGATGAAGAACCTGTGCCATCGTAAATATCAGCAAGAAACATCAGAGCAAGCATACAACTTACTTCAACAGCAGATTGGGTATTAAACCTTACCAGATCAATCATTCGAATGTTCACCGATATCCGATGGTGCCACCTTTGATTCAATACAAAATACTGAAATGCACCGCCAATTACTTCAACACTACAAAGATATTGCTGAACAGTTAAGACTGAAAATGTTCCAGCTTTATCTGAAGACCGCCGAAGAAGAGGGAAACACATGCAGGAAAGACTACGATACGGCAGAGAAGAAAATGTGGACGTATCGTCGTTTGGCCTCGGATGATGCAAAAATATCTCCGATCATGCCTCATCTGATTGAACAACGTTGCACAAAAGTCAGTGATCGTATCAAGTGTATCTATCAGTACAAAGTGCAATTGATTGACATAGAGTCCCATTCATAAATGAAATAAAATCCTTCGATTTATCACTCGTTTACGTTTTCAATAGAGAAATATTGCCATTCATATCTTCTTTTCAGATAGAGTAGCAAGCTTTTTATTACGCAAGGATCACTATTGGTATCATGGATACGGATGAAACAAATAACCAAGACGACGCTCAACCGCACCATCAACAACAACGAAAGAAATGTCATGGAAACCAAAAAGATCAACGTTTCCGAAGAAAATGTCGTGTTCGAGGAATGAAATCAGGGAAAATCAAGAAGTTACTCGAGAAAAGAAAAAAGATCAGTCGTAGACCGAATCGAATCAACAGTCATGTAAGGAACACACGTGGTGCCGAAACAGATACCATTGCATCTGGTAATACATTAATCAATGGAAATAACGCACGATTGGTAGTACCGGCGACAACTGCGCCATCGACTAGTCACAAACGTAAAAGAGATGATCTATCGCAATCGCAAACAAGAATCAATTCAATGTCCATCGCACAACCAGCGCCGAAGAAAACTAAAGCTGCGGTGATCCGAATGTCTCTGGTGACAATGAATGATGGTCAAATCAATAAGAGCTATCGGTTTGTTTTTCTTTCAATTGAATGATCAAACTTGATTGTACTTCTCTCCCTATAGACAACCCATGTATTTGAAACGATCATCACAGATCCTCATTCAAATGTTAAAGCAAAAATTAAACTATACTCTGAAAAGCAAAGAATGAGGGACACTTCATTTATCGACGACTTAGTTTATTTGATCAACTGTACTGTCTTGAAGTTGATCTCAAGATGCAACAATCCTATTTAGAGACGGGTCTAGAAGAACAACGTTGGCCAGTAAGATTTGTTTTCTTCCGGAGTTAGATGTTTGTACTGCCTGTTCGCACTTGAAAATGTAGGATCAACTCTACGCTGTGGTACAAACAACGGATTTCGACTTATGCCAACGGTATCTTGCTGGTTATGTCGAAAATCTTAAGAAACAATTGAGTGAATGTCAACTACAATTGACGAAACGGTCGGAATCGTGTCCCATCACACACGTAACATTGGATCAAATCGATCATGGTCTGAAAGAATTCGTTGATACCCAACGAAAGTACCTATGTAGTCGAAATGATGGGCACCTGGCCAAATGGAAAGGTAGTCATCATTACGAAAAATTATATAAAGCTCTATCACAACATGGTCTGACCCAAAAGCAAGTAAGTGTCCATCAGTTTGAAAAGAGTGCATAGATATTGACCGATAACTCTTTCCTTTTCAAGACCAATTCTATTCATCGATTGATGGACCTTCGGCAACACCAAGCAGACATTTGGAAACATCTATTAACCTTGGAGATGCGCATGCTTTGTAAATTCTTACCGGAAACTTGCGATCATTTTGTACATTGCATCACACCAGTGGTTTACACGCCCTTGGACACGAATCAAAAGGCGATTGATTTGAAAAATCAACGTTACAAAATCATTCGAGAAGTCAAGCGCGCTTGGTTAAATCACGTTTGGCGTGCTTATGAAAGTGAAATACAAGAATATGAACAACTATACCAGACAGAATTCAAACACTTGGAGGCATCCTTATCGAATCCTACTACGACAGACAATATATCTGCTTTGCAATCAATCAAACATTATCTAGTGGAACGGACAAATCAATTGAGAGCAACTATGTGTGATGAAGTATCGTCATCTCGAATCATGCTACTTCGGAATCATCAGCGTGCATCATCATCGCAAAATAAGATCGGTGTATCGCCGCAACCTTATCTTGATCTCATTTCCAATCCATTTGATCAACGCGAGTGGAATTATCTGTGCTTGGGTAAGTGATTCTCTTGGCCGATAATGCGAATGTGTGTTCACTCCTCTCTGTTGCTTGTAATGTTTAGGTTCATCTTGTATACGACTGAATCAAAGCGCCATTCGTCCAAGAGTTCAACAAGAAGCTGCAATGAAAAAGAGCATCAAGGAATCTTTAATAAAGTTCAATCACATCTTATTGAACATCCTTATCAGATACCAAGAAACAACCCGATCTTCAAAAAATATCACACTCACCTTCTCGATCATCTCAAACATTCATATAGTGCGCCGATATCTTACAAGGATCAACTTCTTGCTTACGAACAAGCGCACACCGCTCAATCGATTCGGGCAAAGATGAAGCAGCATGGACTTATCCTCCGCGTTGTGGATAAAGGCAACAATTTCTATATTGGATCGGCAGCCAACTTCGAACAAAAAGTGGAGAAATATTTTACCGACACTAATGCTTTTGTTCAACTATCGGAAAATCCATTCAATGATATTCTAAACAGAATCACTCAAGTGCTTAAAATCTTAGCTTCGAAGAAATCGATTCTACTATGGCAAATGAGAGAGATGTTGCCTGATCCACGGAAATCTGAACTATCTCATCTGTATTTCAATCGGAAAACTTATAAAGTGAGTAGCAACACTTCCTTATTCACTTGAAGATGGCAGTGGTATGTTATTCTTAACTCATAGGATGGTATACCAGTTCGTCCCATTGAGCATACGATACGAGCTATAACAACGAAGATTTCCAATTTCTTAGATCAACTCATAAGACCGATCTTTGATGAGAAATGTAAAGCCACATCCATTATCAACGGCAGTCATCTTATTCAAGAACTTCACAAGTACATCAAGAAAGGTCTTCTCAAATTATCCACACTTTTCTGTACATTTGATATCCGTAACCTTTATACAATTTTACCACAAGAGGAAGCACTCGATATTCTTGTCGAATTTCTTCGTGTTCATGGATATACACATGTGAAAAACATAAGTCTTGATATTATTAGACAGTTAGCTTCTGTCGCGCTCAAAGAAAATGTATTTGTCTATGATAAAAAAATCTACAAGCAAACGACTGGTGGTGCCATGGGATCGTCATTTACTTTAACTTTGGCAAATATTTTCATGTGGAAATGGCAAAAAGAACTCGTTCGCCGGCAAGATATGACAGGCGAATTCTTTGGTCGGTAAGTACAGGAAAGAGAATAAGATAATTCATCAGCAGTCATCGTTGTCTTCTATGATCATACATCGATGATGGTTTTATGACGTGGAACAAATCGGAGCAAGAATTACAGAAACTATTAGATGAAGCCAATGCATGGCATCCTAATATCAAGTTAGATTATCAGATTGGACAAAGTCTTCCATTCTTGGATGTTCTCTTAACAAATCAAAACGGGATACTTGCGACCTCGATTTATCATAAACCAAGTGCTGAACCTTACGTTCTACCATTCATATCTGATCATCCTCAACATGTCGATGCGAATATTGTTCAAGGAGCTTTGGCTCGAGCTGTTCGCTATTCTTCAACCTCTGAAGCATTTGATCATGAGCGACGTTATATTAAACTGATGCTATTATACAATGGGTGAGTCTCTTCTGTCGATCGATCGAATAGTATTTTCTATCTTTCCATATCCATCATTAGGTATCGATCAACATTTGTCGAGCATCAGTTGCGAAAATTCTTCTACGAGTATACATTACCGTCTCCATTTCTACCTTCTATCCATGATGAAGAACAGTTTTTTCGAATGCGAGAGATAAAACTAGGACAACCAACTACTCGTCAGTCACAAGTTGCCATGAATGTTGCTGTTGCCAATATTAACAATGATCAACTCGATGAGCAACACATCAAACTTCATCAAATCAACACGGCACCACCGGCAAAAGATAAAACTTATGAGAAAAAGTTGATTATTCATTATACCCACGAGAAACGTCTTGAATCGTTGAAGCGAGATATGCATAAAATTTACAACGATGTCTTCAAAAACACACCAGTCGAAGACTTGAAACTGATCGTTGGCACACGTAATCGACGGGATGCTGGAAATGAGTTGATTCGCAAACGTCCAAGTCAACGACTGTTACAGAACAAGCCCCAGAAAAGTAAGTGATAGCAATCTGAGTGACGCTGTTAAAAGTTGTTCTTACCACTTTTCTTATTGCCGTACTAGAACGCCAAAGGAACACAACCGTCGTACATCAAACATGAAGCATACGGGACTGTTTGAATACAATCGACGCACAACTCGATCGACACCAATGGACAAGAATCACAATTCAACTTCGCCATGAACTCACTGCGCTGTACTTCTATGCTTTTTCTTCTATTTTCGACTATCAACAATTTTCTTTCATGTAACCCTAGTGCATTACTGGAAATGTCCTTCGTCTAACCTCCCTCGCCTCAAGCTAAAACAAAACAAATCCTTCCATTATTCTAGATAGCATAATTCACTGTTGATCAACACGATGTATGATACCAACCCAACAGGACAACCATACGGACAAGACTGTGGACTTCCCTTCATTCACTTCTGTATTATATGTAACTGAGAGAACCGTCTCGACAAAAAGATCATTCCGACATTCTGTTGCATAAAAGAATCCTTGGAGACATTGCCATCTGATGATTCTTTTAGCCGGGATGAAATCTAGATTATGGTAGCTGATCTCACCCTCACCCTCAGGTGTTTTTGTCCAACTCAAATAAACTGTTGGGGAGTTGCCAAAGCGACATGCAGAATCAGCTTGAAAAGCTGCATCCATTCATGCATGTTTGTTTCTTGTATTTCGTATTTTTAACAAGGAATTTAGATTTCGTGCGGTCAAACTAATTTTTTTCG